TTTTTTTGCCGCCGCGCAGGTATGTGTTAGTTGTTTGTTTGTGTGGGGGGGGGGGGGGGGGGGGGGTAGTTTTTCTTCCTCTTTTCCTTTTTTTTAATGCAGTCGTAGTGAACTTAAAAAAAGCTAGGGCCAGTAGATATGGAGACACATTTTACACAACTGATTGTATTTAATGAAAGGCTGGTTAACATTTCTTTTAGTGCTTTAAAGTTGAGGGCCGGAACTGTAGTAAAGACTCAGAATGTGTATGTGTGAACCACCATAATGCCAAAGAGACGCTTACCTGCAATAGTGAAAACAGATGCGAGAGACAAAGTCCTCATCATATCATGTCACTTCAACCAGTAAGTTGAATATCACAAAATATTGACACTTGTTTAAGGCCAGGTAGTTCGACTTTGGAGGAATAAATAAAAGATAGTTTTACAAAAGTCAGTCCTGGCTATCAACTGATTTATGTTTGCTTTAGTTAGAATTTCAAGCGACACTGCTATCAACGGGAGTTAACCTACAAAACTATTCACGAGACTTTCATTTTTCCGTGTCGGCTTAGTATAAAGGAAAAAAAAACGACATTATGACCGGAACAGTAACTACTGGAAACAATCCCTAAAAATAAAATCTATTGATCTTCAAAGAAACCTTCCTCGTCAGTATCTTATGTATGAAATATGTATAGAGTAAGGAGTGGGAAAACCTTTTTTATCATGGTTTGGCTCACTCGTGTGCGTTTGTTTTGTTTCAGTGCCCTGGAGTGTTCAAGCGTCTCTGTAAAGTAAATTCAGATTGCCCGTGTAGTGAACACCCGTTAATATGTGAAAATCGCGAATGTGTCAAAGCGCTACAAAGGTTTAAGAAGGCATACTGACACTGAGGAAGACTGGGAAGGACAATGACTGTCAAAGAGATACACCTTCGGTTTTCCCAGCTCTATAAAGAATGGAAGACTGAGTCACAATTAATTTATTATTTTACAAGTGAATTTTCCCGCTGAAGGGGATGCCTGTAGAACGTGTACAGGCGTGAGGACTTTAAAAGCCAAGCCATATTTGAGAAGACTCAGTAATCATGCGGATACCAAAGACGACGTCCCAGCCATCTTGAACGAGAACGGAACTGGGTCGGGTTAACTTTCGCAAAGACTTCTGGGACTGTTACTGGGGACACGGAAAAGCTGGTAAATTGTTTTAGAGTTGAATTCTAATGGATTGTACCAAAGTTGAGGAAAAGAAAAGGAGAGTTGTTGTCTTATGTTCCCGTCCTCGACAGAACGTGAAATTAGTCACTTTCACGTTGTAGTCGAAACAACGACGGCTAAGAAATGTACAAAAAAGCGTGATGCACGTGCAAAGTTGTTGTTTTGCTTATCTAAACCTATTGCTTTTTTGCCGTTCTCGTTGCCGTCACCGTCGTCGTTGCTTAAGCTCCCTAATAGCTGAACGGTGTGTCCCCAGTAAGTCTTTGCGAAAGCTAACTCGATAGATAGATAGATTTTTGTTGATATTAAACAACAAATATAGAATTGTATGGGAATATTCTAGCGAGGAAGATTGACCATTTTTATCGAACTGGGTAATCGCGGTGAAAGAGTAAAGTATTTTCCACTAATATAATAGCAGCAAGAGAGGAGTTGTAGTATAGCTTCTGGAAGCTTACACGCAAGCAAGCTAGTCTAGGCTTTCTTGTGCCCTCGCTCGGAAGGCTCCTGGTGTAGGTTATTTTCCGTATTCAGTATTTTGGACTTACAACATGCACTGCATTTCGTTTTGTATATAATACAAGTCACTCAAGCGTTCGTCCATTGTACAATGTTTATGAAATTAATATTATAATATAAGTATTTGAAATAAAAGAAACGAACAAGTCTGAGAACGAAAACTATTGTGATTTCCTCGAACTCGTTGAAGCCGGAAACACTTCTGCAACAGGCGCTTTAGTTCGAAGCGTATTGCGAGACGACGCGCGTGATTACCTGGAGCAGCGAAGTTCGAAGCATTCTCGGGAAGGCATTCTGGAAAGGAAAATCTGCGACATTCAAGTTCCCAATAATGCAATTTGTTTTCTCACAAAATTTTGCTTTAGTTTTGTTTTTAGTCTCTCAAGGTACAATTGTTAGTTCCAAGAGAAATCGGAAACAATACTTGTGCAAGAAAAGAAATGTGGAGAAAAGAAATTTCATTATGGGGAACGTTAGCCTGTTCCAGGCGTCCAGATACGGTAGAGCGCGGCGGTAAGTGGGCAGCGAGTTAAGCTGTACCTATCTGAACGCCTGGAACAGGCTAGGGGAACATAAGAGTCGCAAATCGGCTGACTTTACAGAGGGCGATGTTGTAAGGGCCAACATTGACTGGCCCAACCACAAAGTGAAAGAGACGCTTGGCAAAAGGTATTTGCTTCGAATTTTGATTGGTTCAGTCAGCTTAGCTTCACCATCAGGATCTAGATAACAGAGGACATAATGACGTCATTAACGAATGACGAACATGTGAAAGTGACGCAATCATGACGAAGTATTTACACAATTTGATTACAGGGGAACTGTTACAGGCAGTAGGGCTACCACACATGAACGGCTAGTTTTCTAAAGATCTTGAGAAATCTTGCTATTTTTGCCGCAGAATATTTTCTTGTCAAAAACAAGTTTTGGTATAATCCTCTGAAGTAACCCTTTAAACTTAAGTAGACGCAACAGAAGTGGCTGGATTTGAAATTAAAATATAATAAGGAACCCATATTTCAGGTTTAAACATTAGGACCGTCGCACACTTTCTTCCGTGGCCACTGCGTCTTGACGACTTGAAATCAGAAGACTTATCCGTTCTAAACTCACTACTAATGGGAACTCAGAGCTAATCAACTGTAGCGGAGCACCACGATTGCCAGTAAATTACTTTCCTAAGGGGGTGGGTGCCATCTAATAATGGGCCTTTTCGCAGGAAATTTTTTCTTTAATCAACCCTCCCTGAAAAGCTAAACGGAAGGTCTCGTCAAAACGGTGATAGGTCCTGGGTCCAAGTAGTATTTTTCGTGTGTCGTACACAACGGGTGGTTGAATTGCAAATGGTTGACATGGAGCCTGCGGTAGACAAGCTTGAAGCCTTGGTAATATCAGCTTTTTTTTCTCTTACTTCCACTCGATCCCTCTTGAAACACAAATTTTATGCTCATTATACTGTCAATTCGCTTTCTGTTCCTCTGTGTTCTGTTAATACAAATACAAAAAGTTGTTTTTGCTTGAGACAGTTTTTGGCGCCAAATACAAAAAAATTTAAGTTGAAAAGTAAACGTGCCCTAATATACATATGGATCCTTATGGTTGCACTGGAGTCTTTCCTCCCGGAAATTCTTTTCCTTGCTGGAATTTATGCAAAAGTAACAATAATTTGAACAGTTAATTAAAACATTCTGTTGTAATCAATGTATTGTATCATCCCAAGAAATGTACAAGCTGAATGTAGCAAATTTTGCTGCATCTCTGAATCTAAATTAAAACATTCTGCTGTAATCAATGTATTGTAGTATTGCAAGAAATGGACAAGCTGAATGTAGCAAATTTTGCTTTATTTCTGAATCAGAAATCTTCAAAATTTGAAGGTTTTATGTTCTGTTGTTTATCCACTGTCATCTATGCTTTGTTATACTTATTAATTTTTCAGTTTCAACACATACAACATAACCCGAATTTTGCTTAAACAGTTGTCCTACATTATTTGAATTATTCTCATTACTCTGTCATTTTCAAGCATCCATTCTTGCACATGTTTTTAATTATGTTAAACAAGACACTTCCATCACCTATATCATCAATTTGTATTGGTTGTCTTTCTCTGAATTACACAGTTTCAGAAGGCTGAGTCAGACCTGAACTACATCTCCCTCAGACTGGAGACAGAGTTCTCTCAGCAGTTTTCAGAAAGTTGTCAAGATGAAGTATGTTGATGATATAACCTGTAATCAATTACATTTACAGAGCTCAAACTAATTTTCAGATGGTGGCCGGACATGATGACTGGCCAGACAAATTTTTGCTTAGTCAAGATTCATTTTCTGACCGGTCAAAAAATTGGAACAAAAGTGAACTAATCCTTTTGTAATATGATCTTAATGAATGTGATTGCATAAGTTTTACAGAGAGACAAAAATATCTAAGATTTACAGGTGAGGATTTGGGTATTTACTAAAGAATAAGAGTTTGCATCATCTTTCCATGTGACCAGCGAGTGGAGCTTTTGGCCTGTCAAGACCCCACTCTGGCTTGACATTGTCAATTGACCAGCCAGTACTCTAAGCCTTGCATTTATGTAGTTGAGGATGTACAGTGTAACTGTGATTAAACATTAATGATTAAAGATACAATTTTGCAGAATATACTTAGAAAAAATGTGCAGTCAAACAAAAAAACAACAACAACAACAACAATAAAAAACAAGCACACCAATAACAATCAAACAGTACAGGGAAAATGTCAGTCTGATGAAAGATCCTGTGCTGTGTGGATGATCTGAATTATATACTGCCCACAGAACTAAGGCTGGGCTACAGTTTTCATGCACTGAAAATTTTGGGTTAATTAAAGATCAAGGATTAACCTAGTTCTCAGATAAACTGGGGGTACCTGGATCACACTTCCTTGTGCCTAAGATCTTCTGAGAATCAAGCTGTTCTAACCTTATGAAATTAATCCATTTAAACATTATTGAAGCCTCATCTTACAGTGATATCCCTTTCAAAGATATCATAATCTAATTGATTTGATGAATATGATGACACATTTATTTCAAAATATTTTGTAATCTACTTCAGTCGATCCTTTTTTTGAGGTATTGGTTGCAGGAAGCAACTGATTCATTTCCTTTAAAGGTATTAAGATTTAATGGTTTTAATATATTATTCAGCTGAATCCCATCAAACTGTTGAAGAGGATAAATCAAGCCAAACAACGATTTAAGAGCCTTTCTGAAGAAGCATCCTGCATTTGCTCTAAACAGGAGGTACAGTCTTTGAATACAGGGTGCATTTGACTGAAATAATCCTAATAGAATTAGTAGACGCTCTTTTGAAAAATAGGTCAAAGGGGGACGACCTCTCTCCATGTATGTCATATATCAATCGAAAGAAAATTATGAAAGAAATATAACTTCTTCATATTAAGTCTCGTGATTGTTAGTACAGTGGTGTAACCTGGCAAAGTTTAGTAAAAAAAGTTGACCACTTCTGTACATTCAGAGACAGTAACAGCTGGGTGACATATTTAAGTTTATACCCCGATATATAGTGCCCTCTGTTAATAATATTTTTATTTGTTTTGTAGCAATAAAATGGTATGTTTGTATTTTGAAATTATTCTAAGATTGTCAAAGTATAAAATTTTGTTTATAAAAATTAATTTACATTTTTATTTTTAGAGTCAATGATTGTCAATGACACCAAATAGTTACACTCATCTTGTCATCACTCATCTTGTCTTCACCCAAATCTTAAAATTTTGGGTTAAATAAGTGCATGCTTGTAATTTATATTGTGATTGTTTTAATAGGAAATCAAAGACGTTCTTACGGATCAAATGCTGGCTTGCCAGGATCTTTTACGTCAATTGCAAAAGTGTGCTGGACTCTCAGTAGGTTTACTTAGTCTAACATGTCATCTATTATAAAAGATTTTCAAAGGTTCATTGATACAAAATTATTTCATAACTGAGAAACAGTAACACAGTGACTCAATATTATTGTAACTAGTACAATACTTTAAATTTCAATTTCTAGAAAAAGGTATAAATTTTTTAACTCTTTCTTACTCTTTTGCCTTATCAGGTTTTAGATTCAAACGCTGATGAGCAGTTTTTGAGAGCACTAGAAACACGTTTAAGAATAGGTATGTAAATGCAGAAATCAAACTGATATGTACCAAGTCTTGTAGTCTTTGCCATTTGTCTTTGATCAATTTAAGATTTCATGTTGTTTAAATAGACACAACAAGTTCAGAACAGAGTGTCCATGATGAAGACAAAGAGAACAATACATCCGTTGATCAAACTAGAGGAAAACAACCTCAACTAGGTACTGCAGTTTTTATACAAAACCATGTACATGCAAGAGATACAAATTAATGTAAAATACAATTGATGCATCTATCAGTTTTTAAAATCTTAACACTCAATAACTTTGTTAATATACACGAATCATTTTGTTTCAGAAACTGTTACAAAACCTGTTTCAAGAGGAAGAAAGGAATTTATTGCAATAGATGAAAAAGAATTTCTGTCAGTGTCAGACCTTGTGCGAGGCCGAGTGAAACTGGCAGATGTCAACAAGGTATAGGTATCTAGCTGATGAATGGTTTCATATGCCAAACTGGAATATCTTATTGGTACTTAATTTTGTGATTTTGGAGAGGCAGTATTTTGCAGGGTTTTATTTTTGCGATTAAAGCGTTCTCAACTTCATTTTATTTTTTGAAAAGTCTGAGCTTTTAGATAAACTGGAACATGAAGATTATAGCTAGATTCTATACTTCATGTGAAATCTTAGTTTATAAATTAATGTTTTTTCACAACAGAAGATACAGAATGAAACTTGCCAGGCAAATCACTAAATAATTTGTGAATTTGTTGATACATAATTATCATGGTGTTGTTATTAAATGTAGATTATTTTTTTCTGTGATTGAATTTTATATGGGTATTAAAATTCGCGTGTTTAAATTTCATGGGGATTCTTATTTTCCGGTCTTTAATTTTGCAATTTTTTTACAATCGCCAAAAAGGTTAACTTTAACTTTGCTTGAAACAAGACACCTCTAAATTCTCATTAATGACCCCCCAAAACAAGAAATATTCATGCTATAAATTCATTAAATCAAGGGTTGATTATTCTGTCATGTACTTATAGAGATTTGCAATTTTACTATTTTAGGTTTACGAGGTCCTTTTTCAACATTTTAAGAAAAACAAAAACAGGTACATGTATTGCTGTGTGTGTTTTGGTCAACACAGCACTGTTACTAAATATGATAGTTTTTACAATGAACATGTAACATCATTACACACATTGATTTCCAAGTTACAGTACTGAATATATTATTCGTATTATTTACAATATTAATATTAATATTTTATATTTCTCACCAAACAAATTGACTGATTTTTTCTCCATTTTGAATAATCAGTTCTAGTCTCACTCCTAAAGAAATGACAAAAATGGGGCTCAAGGTAACTGGTGCAACTGGAGAAGCAAAATTAAAGGTAATCTTTTTCTGCCTGGCTTGCTGAATGAATAGAAATTAATGCAAAGTTCCAGAAAATAACCACTGATACCTCCCCATGACCGTCTAACCCTCTAGAAATTACCATCTTTTTGGTCTTTGAGACCCCTTCCTCCTCCTTCCAATTCCTTACGTGGGGTGAGTATTTGGTGATTTAATTTACAGCACATTTTTATATCTTTGGCAAACAATTAATGATACGTCAAAGCTTATCATTATGTGAGAATCAATTTGAGAATGATACTTTTTTGCCTATTTTTATTCAGCTATGATACAGATCGGTAGGGATTGCATGCTACGCCTGTTATGTGTAGATATGCCATTTATACCAAAATTAATATGACTGTGTGAATACTGGTTGTATTCATGCGCACTTGGTTTTGTTAAAATGGTCGTCTCTTCTTACTCTAATATGTATTTATTTAATAAGTGTATTATGTGTGACCCAGTATTTTTCATGTGGCCCTTCTAAAAATGTGTAAGTTAACATCAGGCCCCAGTTGTTCAAACGCTGGATAGTGCTATCCACTGGATAAATCACTATCCAGCAGATAAGTATTTAGGAAACCAATAATTATTATTATTATTGGTTTCCTAACTGGTTTCCCAAATACTTATCCGCTGCCTTATCCATTGGATAGAGATTTATCCATCGGATAGTGCTAGCCACCTTTTGAACACCTGGGACCAGAAGGTTCTGAGAAACACAGCTGGCAGCTAGAGGTTACCCTGAGTGCAGTGGTTTCTCTTGACTGGATGTTAAGTCTGGCCTGGAGAAACCACTGCTTGCTGTGTAGCTAGAGGTTTGCAAACCATTTGGCTAGGGTGACCAGGAGTAAAAATTATCCAGCTAAAGGTCAGTGCCAGACTACCATATTGCAAGTCCACTGACCACTCTGATCACTTGGCCATACAGCTGAATTCTTCCTCAGTGAGATATGAATCATTAGAAGGCACATTAAATCCTTAACCTTTACTATGGGAAAATCAGAGTTTCAAAATCATTAAAGATAATTATTTAACACTGTGGCCAAAATGGGCTTGGCATGCAGCAAAATTCAACTATTTGTGACAAACTTTTTTACAATGAGATCAACAATATTATTGTCGTCAAAGGCCTTTTGGCCTGGAGGTACATGTAATGAAAAGTAATGATCATAGCGTTATTTTTTGTCTCTGCTGGTTTTATTTTTCAGGTTCTCAGAGCATTGAAAGTCATTGAGATAAACAACAAGGGGGCTGTAAAGATGGCATGATAGTCAATGATATTTTGGTGTTCATTTTTAGAAAGCTTTTCATCTTTGAATAATTTTACTGGCCATTCACTATTATAGGTGAATCAGGTCATTTTATTTTTTTCTTAAGGGTATTTAGGCGTGTAAGCCCAAATGACTGTAACTGTATTTCTGTCAGATCTACCTACAATCCCAACTATTAGCTAGAGTAGCTGGGTATCTAACTTGCTGCCATAAAGGAGAGCTCAATTCTTTGCAGCAAACATTTAAGTTATCGTAAAGTCACTTTGTCATTCTCCTTCTCTTTTGGCAGATAGAAAAAGAGCCAGGGAGGAGAGGGGGATTGGTGCACTGGCCAATATCTACCACACCTGTAACTAAAATCTAGGGGGGACACTTTGGGCTTGGTAGCTTAGACCTCTAGAGGATGAGGACCACAGAAATGACATGCATTTCTTATGGACCCAAAGCAATGTGGGGCTCCTTTTTCCAAAATTGGGGAGATTTTCATGACTTTGTATTACTAGCAGTAAAGTGACATAAGCAAGAGAAAAAAATAATGATAATAAATATATAAAAATATATACTTGACACCAGGTAAGTATGGAACAGGATTCTAATACAATGTAACCCTGTAAAACTTAACATAATCCCAATACTTAGGAATTTTGTTATGCCAAGGTTCTGAAGTGTAGAAAGGCAGTTTCAGTTAAGGCTGCTTGATCTCTACTTTGAAGAGCAGAAGAGAGTAAATATTGTATCAACAGAATTCCTTAGAAGTTGTTAGTTTCCTTTGGGTTAACATCAAAAATAATTTCTACAGGTCTTGGACTACTCTGACATCCTTTTTTTCAAAAATAGTACTGCAAGTCAGTTATGGATTTGGAGGGTTTTGTTTTAACCTTTTTGGATACCATCCTACAAGAACACTGACTTCAACTAAAGCTATTCTATCTGTCCAGAAATGGAACATTCACATTATTTTACTAAAACAGACAAGCAGACATCATCTTTATACTGTAAATGAGTCAATAATTGATTCATCATTTGACAGTATAAAGAATAAGATTGGTGTAACTTTAGTTATAGACGTGAAGGAGTAATGCCCTGTGTAAAAATGCAGCACTTCAAGTGAGACTTCATCTACTAGTCTTGAGGAACTGTTTGTTTGTCTTGTCAACCCTTAAGTGGCCAACACTTAAGGATGCCAAATTGCAGACACTGTAAATATCCTTCAACACTACAGTATTGTGACATAAGTAATGAGTTTTAATAGTGTAGGACTGTCACTAACAGTTCCTGGGTATATGCGATCAGCAAGCAGGGAATTAAACAGCTAGGAAGGTCTTTTGAGTTCCATTTTCATCTTGTTTTCCATGCAAGCAGTCAAAGGGTCATGCTGATAGTAGCAAGGGGAAATATAGGGCTCCCATGCCAGCTCTTAGTGACAGCCAGGGAATTTTCCAACCATCCCATATCAGAGAACTTCATTCACTGACAGGTGATGTAAATTATTGGTTCCTTGTGGAGAGTACATGTTATGTTTCATGTCTTTTGCATGGCCACCACTGAGGAGTTGATGCCACAAGCTCTATATCCTTGCCCTCTTTATCCTTAACATAAAATTTCTCTTCTTTCTTTAACATCTCCAGTCTCATGAGCCCTGTCCCATACTGTCCATAAACCATGCAAAGCTTGCCAGCAGCCTTCCCTTCAGATGTGCTTACCCGAGCACCTGACTCAAAATGACTTGACTCTGCTTTGGGATCCATTAGTTTTAATGGTACTGTTCGCTTTCTTACAACACCAGTATGGTGTGTTCTTGCGATCAATTCTTGGCCTAAGTAGCATCCCTTGTTAAAAGACACTGCAAGAATTATAGGTAATAAGCCTCATTAACATCATACAACTAAATCTCATTACAAAACTTCAGCCTAACTAAGATCAAGGTTCCTCATACACTATATTAGTCCTTTCTCCTACTTCCAAAAAGACTACCTACTAAAGACTTTTTACACTCATTTATGCACCTGTCTATAATAAGCCCCAGGATGGCGACAGGGAATGCGCGGGACAGAAACATGGTTTTATCAATTGAGTTGACAATGCAAAGTCAACATTTTACCACTATAAAAAAATTCAAACGCCTGTTTTTAAAACACTTGGTGTTTTATTACTTTCTTCCTCCGCTAATGAAAAACCAGAGTTTCTTTCGAAACTATTACACATTTATTTAAAATTTATGCCCAGGAAATATTGACATAAAGAGCCATCCTCTTTGGAAGCAATAATTTTACATGAAGCTGTCTTCTACAATTTACGAATTTCACTTTGGCTTTCCTATTAATGTCCAGGTGCCCTGAGTTTGCCTACACTCCTTCCCCCATTCCTGGGGCTCAACTTAGGTCCCAAATCCAAACCCCTAAATACCTTTTCCTGGGGAAAACATCAACCTCCAGTAACCCTATCCCTAATTACCTTTTGTCATTTAATGACTTTAAGGGGCTGTCAGATCAAAACCCATGGCCTGAGGATCAGACATTTCTGGGAGAAAGGGTGATGAGAGATGTGAAAAGGAGAGAGAGTAAAGGGAAACAAAGTTTCTTTTTCTCTTCCCCCTCCCTGCTCAAATCTCCTCCCCTAACCCCTAAGGAAGGCCTGATAACCAGACTACCCCCTACAGGGATAGTTGGAGATGCAAGTATGTTAAGGTGGGGGGTGGGGGGGGACTGCAATGCTTTGGACACATGGTGTGCACCTTACCTCCGTTTAAATATCCTATGTTATACTCCAGAGGCATCGCATTTCCTGGTGGTATTTCATCCACCCCTTCACAAACTCCAAGCTTGGCTCTATGTACGTCATAATCAAAAGTATCTCCAGTTTCATACATATCGTCAAAACACACGCAGGGGCTAGAACCCTTTGGCAGCACCATTCGAAATCCCAGCAGTTTTACCCTGGGGTCTTCTTCAAGTACCAGCATATCTGAACGAGCTGATGGGTGTTGCAAATCTACAGCACCGGAAGGGGAAAAAATCACCCAAGGCTCGCAATCTTCCGCACGAGAAATATCCACTTTAGAGCGTAATTTGAACATCTTCAAATGCTTCATCAGGTCTGAAATTGCACCCACATCACACTCGAGGAAAAATGCCGGCGATTCCTCGGTACCGCGATGTTTGTAGAGGAAGACATCGTACAATGCTCGACCACTAGAATTTAAGAAAAAAGCATACATTGCTTTTCTTTCCGCTTCCAGTTGGAACGTCTCTACATCATTGGTCACAAGTCCTTGCAAAAACTTAATGGTATCTCTTCCTTTCAGTTTTAATAGACCTCTTTTTCGCAGTGGGGAGCACTTGATGTCTGCAAAGCATTTTTCTGAAGCCTGGGTTACGAGCAGTCGACCGCTACAAGATTGAAAAACTTTCAAAAACTGATTTATCCTTAAGTTACGTGCGAGCGCCGCCATCTTAGATCTTGGGCTCGGTTTCAGCTTCCCTCGGGCGAGAACAAAATAGTCTTCAGTTGAAGTCTTCAGTGTTACCCCCTCCCCCACCCCCCCAAATAACCAACTCAAAAAAATGAAAGACACACAACAGTTTTAGAGGTTTGGGGAATGGACTCAGAACAGGATAAGCAGGAGTCATAGCAAGACAGTCCCAATCAGGCGAAACAGGGACCATGCTATTAAACCAGGCTTTCCATTGCACCACTTTTATGGCTGTTTAGGCACTCAAGTTGTTTAATTGCATCAAAGTTCTCATATTTGCATTATAAACATGAACGCATAAAAGACATTTTAATTTCAAATCTGATTTAATTTTTGCATTTCTGTTATTGTAATTATTCTTATACATATGATGTTGGAGAGTTCGAGCAACTGTACAACTTGGGGAGTAAGTTGTACAGTGCATGGGATCAGTTTGATCTGACTGCGTACAGGTACATGGGGCAATAAAAATATTGGGACCTTGAAAAATATTTATTAGTTTGGTATACGTATACAATATTCTGCTATATAGTCATCTGATAGGTCTATATACTTATGAAACGGTACACCATACTCAGATTGAAACAGAATAATATTGAAAAAGAATATTACAAAGACTAGAAAAATTAGACCCTGATAAAAAACCCTGAAATGTGAACTTTTAAAGCCATTAAACTAAAAATTAATTACTTCACTGAGAATAAAAATTGTGATTTTGATCACTTCTTGTCTTCTCCATAGAATTAAAATTTATTTATTAATAAAGGACTTGGAGTATTTGGTGAAAAGTCAGCCATTGGAGAAAAACTCTGAAAAGAAATAAAATTCATTTATCAACAATTAATATAATAATAATAACTGCTAACTATACATGACGACTATTATTAGCTGTATGGAACCTACTGATTGGTACCTTTCACTTTCTCTATCCCCTCCCCTATCTTCATTCACTTTTCTTGGCCTGTTTTCTTTCTCTCTATTTTAGGATCATTTTAATGCAAAATTAAGATCTCTTTATCCTACAACATGTCAAAGTTCCCTATGATGAATAAAACTGATAGGGTCACAAGCAGTGCAAGGGCCGTGGATCTGCAAGAGTGGTTAAGGGCGTTCAGGGGTAAATGGGTTAATCCTCTGAAGGGAGTGGGTCCCCAGACTTCCTTAATGAGAGACTTTTGTTCTCAGTTATGGTATTTTAGGCGGGGCATTACCAATGGGCTTTCAGGAAAAACACTCCCAACAGTGAGACACATTAGGTTGAACTTGATCGAATTCAAAGGGGACAGTCAGCAAATTGTTGTGGCTCAAAATACCAATACATGTATTAAGTAAAACTAAATAACAAAATATTTATATTATGGAAAGAATTTTAACAACATATGATAGCTATTAGTACACATAATAAGCATCTTAAAATCTCATTTCCACTTTGAACACATCACTGGACTTTTAATAAGAAACAGCTAAAGGTACATGTAGCANCAATACATGTATTAAGTAAAACTAAATAACAAAATATTTATATTATGGAAAGAATTTTAACAACATATGATAGCTATTAGTACACATAATAAGCATCTTAAAATCTCATTTCCACTTTGAACACATCACTGGACTTTTAATAAGAAACAGCTAAAGGTACATGTAGCAGTGGCGGATCCAGACCTTCAGATAAGGAGGGGGGGTGGGGGGGGTGACAGTGTCAAAAAATTTTCCTGCCCTTCAGGCCTCCATTTGGTCAAAAATAAGGGGGGCTCTCCCCTGGATTCGCCACTGCTATTTTTAGTAAATATGTGTGAATTGAGATGTAACATTTTACACTTTACAACTCAAGTATGTACCTTGCTTCTTCTTGCTGTTGGTGAATCTGGTGAAGAATAAGGATGAGCCTGCTATAAATCAGAAACATTACTATTAAAAAACTATTCGTGCATCATCTCAATAAAATAAGCTCTGAATCATCCTGATGATTACCAATAAATCAATGGATTCTCAAATGGAATCGTATTTACCTGGAATTTCCTCTGCAGTGCTTTTGTCATCATTGGTGTTAGACCAGTTCCATTTTCCTTATTTCTATTAGAAACCAAAGGAGTTCCCCCAGGGCTTCGAGTAATGTTCACTTTTCGTAGCTTACTTCTTGTAATGATCATTTCCTCAGGTGTTCTGTAAAATAAATGGAAACTCTTCAGAGAATCCCTAAAAACAGACATAAGTTTCAAGCTGGATGTCTCTCACCAACATGTGACAGACACATCTGTTTTATAAGACTTCATGTAAATTTATTACAGTCCTGCCAGGTTGCGCATGACCCCTTAGGTGTCATTAATGAATCACCTAATAAGAAAATGAGAAAACAAATCTGCTAGTTGTTGAAACTGAGCCAATATCAAATTCAAATCTGCATTCCTGCATGCATAATGGGCAGTGAATTTTTTATGATGATTTCTCTGTATTCTGTCCGACTGAAAAATCTTTGAAGGGACAAAATTGCTTATTGAAGAAATTTACATCAAATTCAAGAAAACTGAGCTGGCAGAAATTTAATTTACTGTGGGTGAGATGAATCTGAAATATCTACAACTACTAACAAATTCACTTTTGAATATTTTTATTATTATGCTTGACCAGGCTTGACTGTAATAAGGCTACTACAACTGCAACTATTGCTGGTAAATGCTGGCTTCGGCTTGCCCAAAGGACAAGCTGTACCAGTAACTTTTTTACACCCTGTTATATATGTATGTGCCACTGATCAAGATACAATATTGAAGCTTACCGCAACTTGACTTTATCAATTTCACTTTCTGCCGTTCTCTTTTTTAAAGTGACCTTCTTTATCTCCCTCAAACTGATGACACACTGTGGTAAATCCTTTCTTTGATTAATTTTCCTAAGTTCTGGTTTCTGGGGCTGAATCTTCAAACTTACATCAGTCCCAGTATTGGATTCAATATTTTCTTTGACCCTTAATCTGTTTTTCTTTGGTGAAACTTTTCTCAACTTGACTTTTTTCAAATCTTCCAAAGTCACTAAAGCAGTTGTTGGCTTCTTCTTGGTCTCACTAGAGTCCACACCCTTTGATCCACTCTGTAAAAAACATATAAACTTAAGATAACATTAAATATATTTATCATTACGATGTCACTTTTTAATACATTACATGTAGTGGACTACCATACACTGTTTCTTAAAAGTCCCCCAAGCTTATTTTAGGCAGTAGGCCCATCTACCTGCAAATAATAAAATACATCTTATTAACCTCCCTCCCCCCTCTCCTATATTTGCCCCTTCTAGCTTGTATTGAAATGACTTCAATTAAATTTTTTGAAGCTGAATTTAAAAAAAAAAACAGTAAATACAAAAGTACGTATTTTGATCAGCATTGCTATAGCTTGTTTTGAAGAGCCTTTCCTATTCTGTTATAAGGGTAACCCCCCCCCCCCCCCCC